AGTTTGTTTGTATTTTGTTAACATACGTAATAATAAAAAATGTTTATTGTGGTAAAAAAATAATGATTTGATCTAAGTAAAAGTTCTTTTTCCTTCCCGATTTGTAAAAAATCCTTACGTGATAGAAAAAAAATATATTATTTTCAAAATCTGCGTAGCTGAATTATGGAAAATCCGTTATTAAAAGCAAACCAACTTTTAAGAAGTTTTAATTTGCAGGCTGGTGTTATTAAACAGTCATGAGAAATGTTTTATGCACTTTCAAATAATAAATAAAAAAAACCTTATCTATTTAACTGATAAAAAGGTCAAAACCTAGGTAACACTATGCAAAAGGTATATGCTACCTCAAAGTAAATTACTCATTATAATGTTGTCATCCCTCAGGCAAAGCAAAATTTTTATAGTTTTCAATCTTATTATGGTTACAGAGCCATAAACAAAAAAAAACAAACTCTTCTTGCCACGTCCACCTGTCAACATCCTCTCTTTCCCAAGTTGCCAACAGTTGTCTCTCTCTCATATTTAATACGGTATTATTTAAAATCAACACAAAGCTAAAACATTTAATCTATCAAATTATATTGTTTTTGTACAGAAAACTGTTTATTTCACTTCTAATTAAAATTTTATTCCCACAGGAAACATATGAATAAGCCTGGCTGATTTTTTAATGGCTCTTTTTTGCATACTTAGAAAGCCAGAAAAATTGTGATAGTTTATAAGTTATAGGATATTGTCTGCTTTTTTGCATGTTATTATTCTGTGTTTTTTGGTGCATTATTTAATTCAACAAAAAAATTATTTAGTGCAGTATTACCATTAGTTTAAATAAAAAAAAAGAAGACCTAAGGGGATGGCTCAGAAACTAGTCGCAGACGTGCTCCGAGAATTCAAGTGGGAGCTTTCGTTCAACAATGCACAGAAGAAATGTTGGAAACTTTGACTGAATGCAAGAGACACGAATGTGAAACCTTGATTTGTGTTCTTACTGATGTGCTCACAGAGACAGCCACAAGGACAGACATGTTTGTTGCATTGCTGAAATCTTTTACAAATTGATTAAAACTCATGCATGAGAACAATGGTGGCCCAATCAAGCAATATATATACTTGGAATTACTTTTTTGACTGAATTAAAATCTTATTTTACTTTGTTATGCTCTCGGGGGAACAAAGTATGATTTATTTTGCAACACCCCTTAGAAGTACATAAACAAATGAAGGATTTTTTAGCCAAAATATAATAATGTCTGGTTTCATGGTTTTTTTGCTAAATAGATTCAAAAATGCTTTGTTAATTAATTGATACACATGGTGGTTTGTTTATTTTGTTCATTGTATAACATGTACTCAAGGAATTTTAGTGGGTTCTGTTTTTTCATGTCTTGATCTCTAGCTTTGTAAGACAACAAAGAAAGATGTATCATCTAGCCAGGAAAACCCTTCAGAAGACGATGTACTTGAAGATCACTCTGTATGGATGTGTTTACAGTGTGGCCACTTGGGCTGTGGTCGGTTCTCTGAGAACAAACATGCCCTACATCATTATCAGACTCCTCACTCAGATTCACATTGTGTTGTTGTGAACACAACCAATTGGGGTGTGTGGTAAGTCTGCAAACAAATTTTTTAAGTTTAATTTCCTATGTGCACTGAGTTGGTTTGTCTGTGCATACAGCTAATTAAGGAGATCTTGGACTTTAAAGCTCCTAAGTTCATGACTTTAATCAGCCAGAAAGTATGACAAGTTGAAAAATATGGTTCATTACAAATAATGGAAGAATTGTACTAATCTATGAAAACATCTACAGAGAATTGAGTATGTTATATTAAAATGATTTTGAATATGCTAATCAGCAAGCCATATGAAAATCACAGCCAATAGAAAATTGTGGTAAAGTAGCATGTATCAGAATTATATTTTGACATTGTTGTTTCACAGGTAGTGTGATTCCACCCAAAAGTATTCATACACTCAGATAATAAAGATTTGTCAGAATAGGAATTCCATATCCCTTGTACTTAGTGACAGTCGAAAACCAAGGAATATGGGTCAACTTGGGGTACTAGAACCATTCAGAAAGAGACTTGCATTAAGTTGTACCCATGCTTTAAAAAGTAAAGTGTTGTGTCTTTTAAAAATTGATAATCCATAAGTCAGTGATAAAAGCTGTCCAAGAGCCCTGGCAATAGTACACAGCTTCATCATGAACAATTGCTGTTTGGAAAAGTGATACAAGTCATGTGTGCACAAGTTGTTTCCACAATATATCCATTCAACAGTCTTATACTTTAAGCAGCTGGGGAATGAAACATGCTTTCATGCAATTTCATACAAAGACATATCAGTCAAGTCAACCAGATTCAGTGTCCATGGATTTCTGTGTGATGAGACTGTTGAAATGACCACTGGAAAATGATCATTGTTGTACATTAGGTGGATTATTAAGAGCATGCACTGAGGAGAGGTGTACTTTGGACATGATAGCTTTATTGTGGAGTCTTTTGTAACAAAAACTAAAGTGCAGGATTAGTTTTAAGACAAACATTTATTGCATAATAGCATGACCAGACATGGTGATATGGACTATAACAAGGCTTTGAAATTAGTTTTATTATAACATACTCAACCCTTCACAATAAAAGAAACTGGTATATCCACTGCCATATTCATCATAGTAGGTAATATGATAAGACAACCAGTAGAGCCAGCTGCAAAGATTGATAAGGTAACAAATATGTAATAGTTGGAGATATTAATACATTAATACAGCCACCTGTGAAGTTTGATAAGCTTACAATTAGAGCTAACTGAAGAGCTTGGTTGTATTTTTAATACAAGGGTTTTCTAGTAAAAAATTATTTCTCTCACTACGGGCTTGGTTGATTTGACATTTGAAATTTCACCCCCAAATTAACATTTAGAGTTTTCATACTATAACTTCTAATATGTTTCGTGTATCTTCACAAACTTTCCCAAGCTTTCGTTAAGCATTAAGAGTCATTTGTGGACAAAAAATCAGAATTTCTAATGAATTATTTTCACTAAAAATTTCTCCATGAACGTATGGAGTCAAAGTGTTGACTTGTTTCGAGTGCAAAATGATTTTCATGTTAAGATTAAAAATACTACATCTGAAAAATCTCAAAATTCATTTGCATAATATCTAAAACCTCTTAAATAAATATCAACATTTTTTTTTCTGTAAAACTTTATATAGTATCAGTTATTTTAATGGTTTAATTTATCAGTTTTTTGCTAAATTTCACAGTCTTGATAACAGCTAGCTAACCTTTATGCTTAATAGTTTTATATTGCAATATGTGTTGTGATTTCAGAGGTGTCACAGAGTCTAACAATTTTTAACGTAGAAACAGTTACAGTTGCATGAGCAGTTGCTTTGGGGGTAATATTGTTTTACATAGTATAAGTTTATTAGAAATTTTTTTCTAAAAGCAGTATAGTAAAACATTTCATTCTGAACATTATATTTGTCATTGATCATTATTTCTAGACTTAATATGATAGTGAATCTTACTGAAATTTTGAATAGCTTTATTTTACAAAAGTGTGTGTACAATTAATGTTTTTCTTTCTTTTTGTAAGGAGCGTTGCAAAATAAATCACACTTTTTCCCCAGAAGTAATCACGAACTTGGTAGGATCGCAGATATCATCACTCGTGAGAAAACGTCATTTCAACATACTCTTGGGTGTTTGACTCTTTGAATTTCATTTTTTGCCTAAAAAACTTTTTTTAATTTAATTTTCATGTGCTCCACTTTCAGAAGGTTTTTCCCTTCTCTTTTTCTTAGTTTGTTACTTTTTTACTGCTTTTAAGCATTCAGAAACTTTACTTGGACTTGTGTTTTTCATTCCACGTGTTTGACAGTTATTATTTAAAGTTTCTAAATATTAACTGTCTCCACAATTAATAAGTCTGATTCTTGACCTGTTAGTTTCATCGTCAGGAAATGATTAAATGTTATCAACATATGAAAAGCAGTTATCAGAGCTTAAAGATGTAAATTTTAATGGTTTATTGTATTTCTAGGTCAAGGCCCTGAGCTATACCAGTTAGTTTATAGGGCCCAAAACCCACTTGTTGCCCACAATTTGATGATGTTTGACTGGAATATGAATTTTAAGTGGGAACTAGAGCTCTTGGGGGCTTTAAAATTAGAATTATTCTTTTAAAGAAATGAAAAGTGGGGCCAGATGGAACCCAAATCTGCAAATTTGTTCACAAGGGGAACTTGTAATGTCCAGAGTAATAGAAAAAAGTACACTTTTGATCTGTGTAAATATACTGATTAACCCAAAGATCTTACAACACTAGAATTTGACAACAATTACACAACTACTGTATTGCCCCTAATTAACACCCTCATGGGCATTGCAAACTGCAGGGGGGGGGGGCTAATTATAGTGTTTGTGCAGTTCTGGATTCTATTTTTCACATGTGATTTGTTGATTTCAATGCTAGTAAGTGTGTGTGTGTGTCGTGTTTTTTTTTTTTTCAAATCAAAATTATACTAATAAAAGTGGATTATATGTTAGATTACTATTGCTGTCCCACGAGGTAAGCTTTATAAACAATACTGGGGGGGGGGGGGATTTGAGGGGGCATTAAATAGGGGCAATACGGTATATTAAAAATTCAGAATGAAATATTATAATCGTACACATTTCTGTTTGTTTACAAGAAAAAACATAAAAAGATGCAGAGTATATTTGATAAAAAAAGTTTTGGGTGATACTTGAAATAAGTGAAAAACAGTTGATCACGTTCTTTAGTGTGTAGTTTTCTGGCTTCTGTTATCCTTCAGACAGATACATTATCCAGAATCAGGAGAGCAGGAATTATGCATTCTCATGAATATTTCTTTTGCTTTTAATAGTATTTTGCTGTTTGGAGCTGAGTTATTAACATACATCGTACTTGATTGAAATGAGATAGTTTACACCTTTTTATCAAGTTTGAACATAATATTCTACAGCTGAATAATTTTCGTAACATTCACTAATGTTATCTCAATCCTATGAATCGTATGAGACATGTATTAGTCAGCATAACAACTATGGTTCAAAACAGGAACCAGTGTTAGCGGGTTTGCTAAGTAAGGTATGCTATTTTGTTTAATTATTATTCTTTTAATTTATAATATTAGCTGTAGTAGTTACTGTATTGAAATTATTTATGTTATTTCAATTTGTCGTTCATTATTATACTTTTATTCTAAAAATATTTTGTATTGTTAGCTCAGAATTTGTATTTAGGGATAGCCCAAACCTCGTGAGCTAGCTGAACTTCATGAGACGTTATTGGGTTTATGGCCACAAATATCATTAGCGTCGAGGGTAAGCAGCTGGTGAAACAATGCATTCTAATATTTATAAGTAGATACATGAGATATGTATTATTCATTAGCTGTACTGATGGCTTGGCATAGCTTACTCTGATTGTAAGTTATTATTTAATAATACTTCATATAAATAGTATCTTTCTTATCACATTTTAATATGGTTTAATAAAAAAGATAGTTTTATTGAGAAGTTTTCACATTTCGTAGCATATTTTGTAAAAAAAAAATCCTATTATCCTGTCAAAACTGAAGCATATTTTGCAAATCATAATATTACACTTTGGTGATGCATTTTTGAAGCATGGAAATATTAGACGAAAGTATTTTTAATAAGAAATAAATGTTGTTGAAAACTGGTACTTCAATCCTTTTGTCTTATTGATACAAGCTGCGTACGATGATTGTATATTGGAGGTTGTTTAGAAAAGTTAACTGTTAGGGGATTATTCTAAGTAGTGGTATAAACTAAGTTTGGAAAGTGTCTTGTGCAATTTTTTTCAGCAGTGGATTATATAATGTAGTATCTGTAGTTCATGAAATGGTAAACGTGGAACAAAAATACGAAACCTTAGAAATCGTGAAACCCTCCAATCGCAAGTAAGTGCCTGATTACCTTAGGCATGCAACTTTTGTGATCGCACATGACATAAAGTCTGTAAGTCAAGGTGACTTGTGCTGACTTGATAGTGAATTGTGATTCTATAGCTATATGTTTGTACAAATTTAGAACGTTTACGGACTGTAGAAGTTTGTCTTCGTATTTGTGACTTGTAGGTTATAAATCATGTGCAATGATAATTCGTTTAGTCAGTTGAGTAGCTTATAAGCCGTAGTTTCATAAATGGTAGATGTGTTGTACCTTTGAGCATTCTAACCTTGTTGATTCTATATTTTTTGAGAACTGAAGTTAATCTCTCATACTTTTAACTGCTTTTGGATGACCTCTCTGATCAAAAAATGCTAGCGCCAAAAGAAATTATTCTATACCAAACAGTTTAATTGTTAAACAATTGTTTTTCTTTGTAATTTGTTTCAAATAAATTTTTTTCTATGAAAAAACAAATAAAAAGAGACATTCACTTGGTGAAATTTGAAACTGGGTCTACGAATATTTAAAAACATTATTTTGAAAACAGTCAACCAAAAAAACAAAACAAATAGCTATCTTAACATGTATGTTGTTGTTTTTCTTTTGCAGGAAAATGTTGTCCTCATGTATCCAAAGCTGTCAATTTGTCTGGA